CATTGCCAGTCAGTCTGGCAAGTCTAGATAATAATCCATTATTGATTAGATGAGTCTGATTAGCGGTCAGGTCAGTGCCATTTTCTCTCTCTTAATGAGGCTCCACTGGGCCATTAGCCAAGAGACATTTGTCATTTGTGACACACACAGGCACATGACTCAGCACAAAAGACAGATATAGTGGTTTTGTAATGCCTGTTTAGTGAGGAACTGAGTTTAGCCCAATGACAAAATTATTTCACACAGTTAGCCAGGACAAAAAGGATATTGTGATCAGGCAGAAACAGTGAAGGGTGTAGATAAGAAAAAGAAAAAAAACAAGAAGGTATAGCAGAATTTTTAAAAAAGGAGGACACATGAGGAGCATAAGGAAGACAGCAAAGGGCAATTTTGTTCCCTTGATGACAAGCTGTCATCGTGTCTGCAACATCAGCCATGCTGACACTACCTAACAAACAGTCAGGCAATCTGACTGGCTAATTGGCCTGGGCTATGTAAATGAGCAGCAGGTAATGGTGCCTACTGGGCCGTCAGTTGTTTATTATTACACCCTTTGACAGTAATGCCATTAGCAGCCCAAATAAAAACACACACAGAACCTCAACAACACACTTTTTTTCATAAGATCATCATCCACTAGTGAAACAAGAGGAGTTTGTGCTGCATCCCCACACATAATACTGTTGTATCTTTCATGGATGCAGATAAACAACTGTACTCTAAGACTGCATCATGTGGTATTAAAAAAGGATGTCGATTAAATTGCAAATGAGCAAGATACATACATAGAAATGTGAAAAAGAAAAACAATTTCAGGTTTTCAGAGTAGTTGCTGTAACTACTTTTATTTCTCAAAATATCTAACATTTCCTTTCAGTTGAGGCAGCAAAGTGGGGTGTGAGATGAGCTCTCCTTTCCCGTCATCAGTCACTCTTTATCTTGGATTTCATCAGCTGTTTCACTCAAGAATGTTGGTAATGATAAATGGATGACGACTGAGTATTCATTCAATGCTGAATAGGTGGTGCTGTGTGAGACGCAGACAATTACTTGTTTTCCTGAGTAAGCGAGCAGTACATCGTGTTTGTGCGCCGGACTGCGGAGATTTCATTCTTACCTGCCGAGTAGGGCTCCTGCCTCTCCACACACACAAACTCCTTCCTCTCGTACTTGGCTCGGATCCATTGATCCCGCAGGAGCCTGCAGAACAGTTGGTGTGGATGTTTACTTCATGCTTGAGCTGATTTGTTGGAAATGTCTCATTAACTTACATGGATGTCAAGCCTCTGAGCTACATTTCATGCAAATAAATATTGCTTGACTCATCTTTTTGTAATTATCACTCGTGTCTCCCTTTTTCCTCCATCTATCACAATATTGATTATATGGCTCGTGCTCTTCTTTCATCTCTTCTTTCCATCTTTATTAAATTAATTTCTCTGGACTCTCTGTTTCCTTGGTAATTATCCTTAACATCCAAAAAGCATTATACATAAACAACACCTTGCATTTGTATGTGTATCTTCAGCATGCGAGACACCTCATCATTTCCCCATGCTTAACCAGCTGTGTCGCTTTCAACAAATCAGCATCACAGTATTTAATGTAATGGCTTTGTACAGCTCTTCCCCCGGGTGCTCAAAGCCCTTCACACTTATTGGATCATACCTTTTTCTTTCCTCTCTAATCAATCCACCCCTCCCTTGTCCTGCCTAAAACATATCACACAAACACAACACAGGTCCATTCTAAGATAAACTTGACAGCTCAGTGTTTTGTTGTTATGTACTGTTATTTATATCACTGGACGGTTAAGAAGAAACCCTTGTACTGAACTGCTGCTTCCTGTTCTAACTGCAGGAACTTGCCATTCTTATCACTGAGGAGTTTCTGCATGTCAGCCATGGCTACCAGAACCACTTGTTACCCCTATGTTAATGAATGTATCCATCTGGGGAGAAATAGTTGCAGCATTAAAGATGCTATCAGTAATATTTTACTGTCTTTATACACAAAATAACCACAGTATATATCAGCAAAGCTTTGTAATGTTGTTGATTGATGACAGACAGACTTAAAATAGTGGCATTAAATCTGTAACCGTATTAGGTAGGTAACACCAGCATTTTTTTTACCAGCTACATTATGTAAAAGGACAAGGAGTCAAATAAAGAATCTGACTTTAAAAAGTGTAATTTATTGTGGCTGCCACTAGATTTCACTGAAGTGTAATGTTTTATTGATACCTTTAGCATTTGAACAAACCTGGTTATTAAAAAGGCATTTCATCCTAAACTACCTTTTACACAACTTTATAAGCCACAAATATGCATGATAACCTTCACTTGTATGGTTGTTCAAAATCAGGATTAAAAAAAGTATCCGTCTATGCTGCAGATATGTACTAATCACTGACCGCCAGTACAGAGGTGACAGAAACACCAGGATGAGACATTGAGGGGAAAGGAGGACACATCACTTACATGCAGTCTTTTTGTGTTGGACAGTAGTAGAAGGCAGGAACTATCTGTTCATATTTGGCCTTGCAGGCATTGTTACCCAAAGAGTCCATAAACTGCAGATGGGAGGAAGAGAAACATTTGATGTTTGTATGTAATATCACACACACACACACACACACACACACAGATATAATGAGGTGCTTGCAGGCTTATGTGACCACAGGGAGACAGCACTGCTGCCCTGGCCACTGCTTCTTTTGTGTCTCTGTATTTAACAAGGAGGACACTACTCGGCACATAATAGCACGCTAGGTAGGAAACTACAGATGACACACACAAATCAAGAAGAAATGGGGACAGAGACACGAGCACACAGAGTGGACAGCTGCATGAGACGGTTAGTCTGACTGGACTAGATGTATGAAAACAATTTTTAAAATGTTCTCATTCTTGATATTTTCACTTTCAAAGTGTGTCTGTTAAAGTCTGAGTGTCCCTGGATTCAACACATACACATACACATACACAAACACCCTCACACACATACACAAAGATATTGGTTGTATCAGCCAGCTGCTGGCTCATGCCTTTTAGGCCGTGCTCAATTGAGACAAATGACTCGTCTTATTCTTCCAAGCAGGGATGCAGGGGCGGAGTGGCAGGCAGAGTGATGCTCACAGTGGAGAGGGGTGGGCTAGCGGAGGGCGAGGCCAGTGGCTGCAGAGGTTACTTCGAGCCAAGTTTCAGACTATCGATGGCTGATCTTCTCTTACAAAACACAGGGCTTTTCTACTTTGTTTGGGGTATGTATAAATAAAACAGACAGTTCTTACCTCCAGCTCAGAGGAGCTCCAGGGATCCAACAGGATAGATTTCACCTTGCTGATCTGAGCAATGTTTCTATGGAGGCCTGAGCAGCTGTGACACACAAACACACCCAGGGTGTAGGATGCCCACTCTGGATCTGCAACGCAACATCAAGATCTCAAAAAAACTAGACACACTGACATTTCTGAACTTCCTTCTAACAGACACTGACAATCAAACCAGTGGTTGACACATTATTAACAACAGACAGAATTTTTTACTTAGTCATACATTAACAATTCTAATCACATATAGTTAATTTGTGCCTGGTGAGAGAGAAAATAGCAGAAGTAGATACGCATAGAGATCTGACACAAGATTCAAGGCAGGCATGATAGAGGGGTAAGACAGAGATAAGGAACACGGAGCGAGATTATGGGGTTATCAGTCCTTCAAATCCTGGAGGCCTGGAGTCCTCTCTCTCGGTCTCTCTGACTTAAATACATAGACAAAGACAATACAAAGTTGCTTGTCTTTGCATTTACAAAAAAACTATTTTCCATACAAGAAGCAGGTCACCCAAAGTGCAGTAAGCACCTCTCCATGCCCCAGATTAAACAACTCAGATCACATCCTCAGTGATCATCAAACCCTCCCCCAGTTTCACAGATGATCAATATTTGGGTCAGGATTATGTCAATCAAGAGCTAGATCGTATTTAGGTTTGTGTAAGAACAGACTGGGTGTTTCCTTTTCGTTTTTTAAGCATGGTGGCAGTAGTGAGTGAGTGAGTGAGAGAGAGAGAGACAGAGAAGAGACGAGACACGGCACCACTGATGCTCACCTTGAATCACCCCAACAGGATAGTGTTTCATAGATGCTATTTATACCCAAATTCATAACTCATTCATAGTGGAAATTCTCAGGAATTCATGTACTGTTACTTATGTGTGCAACATGTTACTAACACATAGACCACATTCACACTTTTTTTCATACAATATATGAGTCACTGCTACCTCAAAACGCCTCTGTGTCCCATAAAACATGCACTGAAATTAAGCACACATAAACTGTATCACATTACTTTGTACATTGTAACATGTCACCCATTTATGTTTCAGCGCTCATGACATTTTGACATGTTCTCAAAAAGGTTCAGTGAAAGGTCACATTGTTCAAATGTTTCTTCGGAGGGAGATAAGTGTGAAAAGAGCATGCAGCATGACAAGCATCAATTTCACCGACTCTCACAATGAATACATGGCTTGTTTTTCCCCCTTTCTTTTTTAAATGAGTAATTAGAGACAGATTTGTTTGTATGACAGTAAGCTAATTCTTTTAAATGCAGGTCTTTGAACATAAACAGCACATGCAAGAGTTGCAGAAAATGTGTGAATGGCTACATGTGCACAGCTCCTCCTACACTTAAAAATCTAATTCTCATAACCATTACTCCTGAATGCAAAGTGAGATCACAGCTGCTGTTGGTGGTTATTTTGTAACTGAGCCAGAAAACGGGGACAGTGTCAAGTAGTGTGTATCAGCAGGCTGCAGCCTTTCAACCGCAGCTATAGAAGAACAAGTGAACGCACGCTGCAAAAAATAGCATGAGAACGAGAGAAAATTTTACTTCCTTGTGCATAATCACAAAGCAGCACACATGTAAGACTGTGCATCTGTACATAAGAGACAAGACACAGATGTGTCGTAAGCCACTCCCATCTTCTCTGTATTATGTGGGCCTGTAGCCTGTTGGACTTGAACAATCAAACAGTCTAACTTGGCTTCCACATCTTATTAACATAATTCAAACTAAACTAATAATGTCTTTGTTTGAACAAAACAAGATATGTAAGACGTCACCCTCTGGGCACAGGGAAGTTGTAGTAGGCATTATTTCACTATTTTAGACATTTATGATTCATCAAAAAAATATTGTCATGGTTAGCTGCAAGTCTGGGAAGTTGTGGTGGGCTTTTTTCCCCCCACTATTTTAGACATTTTTGACTCATCAGAAAAATTATCATCACATTGTTGGCTGCAGCTCTAAATATGAGCATCCTTTAAAAAACCTCCAGGGCTCAATGGACTTGAAGAGAGATGATCGAGTAAATGCTCTGATATATTTATCGCAATCCATCTTGAAGTAAATTTAGAAAGCTTACACTAATGAACCAAGACCACAGCAAAGTAGGACACAACAATACATTCAATAAACCACAGTAGCCCTCTCTGACTTAAACTCAGGCTGTAGATGAGCCTTTTTTTTTTTTTTTTTTTTTTTTTTTTCACAAACCACACCTGTTTGCCATGTTGGCTACTGAACTGCAGATTTGAAGTGCTAATCTACTAGGTGTGACCACATGTGTACATGCAAAAGGAAATGAATATATGTTTGGCCCTTCAACACAATATACATGTGAAAAAGAGACCCCCGCCTAGGGATGGGAATATGATTCATTAAATAGATTTAGTATGATAACCACTTTTTTAACCAAGACTGAGCTCTAAGTTGAAATAAAAACCACTCATTGGTCGACATGTTATTTATTTATAACATAATATATCTATGAAAGCTGCTAGACGCCTGTACAATGAATACAGCAGTTTTTTTAAAAAGCTTATACAATATTTAGTTGCTCTCTTATTGAACTCCTCGGGAAGTCCATTGCTCTCCTGTGTGAGGATCTTCATTATGTCAACTGTTTTATATTTCATAATCATGCCTAGATCACATCGTGACTGTCTCGGAAGAGAAACTCAACGACCTTGCACACTCCCGCGAAAAAACAACGCCGTGAAATTGCTGTAAATGCCCTACAGTTGATTATTTGTAGCTCATAATAACGCATGGGGATAAGAGAGAAGTAGGATCGTCACAGAACGTATAAAGAAAAGTAGGAAAAAGGTCAATAAAATGTGTCCAGCATCTGTCAGTGACTCCCCTCCAGCCTACCTGCAGCTCCGCAGTCGGCACAGTTTCCATTCCCAGGTTTCCCCAGAAGCTGTTTCATACGCTGTCTGTTCTTTTCTTGATCCGAAGCCATAATGCAAATGATTCAGCTCAGATGCCTCCTTAGCGGCTGAAAGCTTTAAACTCTCATGCATCGAAAGTAAGATTGCCGCCTGGACTCGCTGGGCTGAAATTGTAAGAGCGCTTCGCGAACATCTAAAGCGATGGCTGTAGTTGTAGGAGGAAAGTGGCTGAATGATGGAGCATGGTCAGTCTTGTGTATATGCCTTAAAAAAAAAAAAAAAAAAAAAAACTACATATAGATACAACAATAAATGCATTGAAGTCTTGTCCCTGTGTCTCTCTGTAGAGGGAGACACCCAGCGGTTGTTAAGGTGGTAAGAAATATACATCCACATTTACCCTCTGATTGCCTCTCTCACTACTCTACAGCCAGGAAATATTTAACAGATATTTCACTCAGGTGTTTGTTTGCTTTTCTTCGCTTTCGACCTGAACATAAGCGGGTTTGTATTTGCAGGAGAAGAGTTGTTTTTGATGAGGACATTAATATGATGCTGGAGGTTGTAGTCAATATTGAACTGCGCCTAAAAATTGCCCCAGCAGTAACACATTTGACAAGCTGTCACCAAACTCACTACCTTTTATATAATTGTGGTAAAGATACTTAATTAAAATACCTTATTCTTTTATTGTGACACATGGTGTTTGCACTTGTGGGTGATTGGGCCTGTGTTTGAAGGTGGGTGGAGCTACGTTGTAGTACCAATCAGGTTTTAGGAGCCAAAATTATTGAAACCACCTGTGTGGGTTCACTCTGGGTATGCAGAGCCTTTTTATAAACGTGGTATTGTTTACCACTGACATTATTTACATGACATAACAAGAAAACCACTGGGGTGTTTAATAATATCAATATGGGCTGCGATATATTAAGCATTACTTATTTCAGTAGAGGACAGAATATAAAATGTGCTTACTGAAAAGGCTTATGTGTACCCTTTGTAGTGTTTCCACAGCATAAATGCATCTACAGTGGTTTTAGCTTTCTGCCGACCCTTTCTAAACTTTGAGGATATATCGATAGGGTGCTAAATCTTCCTTTTGTCTTGCCTGTCACAAGTGAAAAAACATGTTTATAGGCGTTAAAGCTCTTAAAAACAGGATGATGAGAGCAAATGTATCTTTTTGGTTGATATTCAATCAAGTGTGGCAGACACATTAAACATTAACACGTTCTCCAGAAGATTAACTTTGGTAACACTGAGCAAACATAGCTGACAGGCACAGAGCCAAGAAGGTTAACAGCGAAGGCCTTTCAGAATCTTGACCGGACTGTTACAAATTGAACTCACAAACTGTATGTTTCAGCATTTTTATTTTTCAAAATGTCTAAAAATTCTGTAAGTGGTAAAAAGAAGTCACACTTTAAAAGAAATATTTGTAGATCTCAGTGGAGCCCAAACTTGGCTTGAAACACAAAATAAACACAAAACTGGTTCATCAGGATCAATTTAAACACAAAATATGAAAGGAAACTCACATTTGCACAAATAAGAATAAAAAAAACACTTCAGCTTTCTACATGCAGGCAGATGTTTGTGTTGGCTACAATGTAGATGTTTTTATTTCCAGGGAGCTGGGCTGAGCTCCAGCTGATCAGAGAAGTGTCAGAGAATCAAAGAGATCGCTTGGTATCAGGACCTGTCTATCTGGAGGAGTTAGAGCTGGAACGAGAGCGGTGACGCCTGCGACCAGGAGATCTGGAGCGAGAACGGCGGCGTGCTGGGGACCGCCTCCTGGGGGAGCGGGACCTGCGAGGAGACAAACTTTTAGAAAAAACTGCTTGTGTGGTGGGAAAGCAGGAAGAATGCACAGACTAAATGGTCTGAACTGAAGAACATAAACATACAACAAAATTTTATCTTTACATGGACAGTGTTACTGCAAAATATTCAATGTACCTTCTCCTCATACGTGGTGGACTCCGACGCCACATAGGCGGTGGTGGGGGCATTCTGCGAGGGGGAGATGGTCTACGAGGTGGAGGACGGACTCGTTGAGCTAGCACGGCAGACGCAGTGATTTCCTGTCCGTCAATCTGACCTATCAACAACAAAGTCATCACATTTATTCAACACGTGTGCCCAAGTTAATGCTTCAAGACAGGGTCACTGAAACAAACACTCTGGCCTACCTCCGTCCATGTATTTGAGGGCCTTCTGGGCCTCCTCAGGAGTCTCAAATTCCACATAAGCATAACCCCTGGACAAGTGTAGGTGGAGCCTGTCCATTGGCATTTCGACCATTTTGATTTTTCCATAAGTGGAAAAGATCTCCTGGATGTGGTCCTGTGCAAAAAAGATTGAAATATATCATCAGAACCATGTTAACAGAAAGCTATGATTATCTGTGGAGGAGTATCTGTTCATAATACATAAAATAGACTGCTGGCAACAAGAATAAGGAAATGAAAAGGCAGTTTACTGGACCATAGTCATAATGAATTAACATAATCACACCAGCATCAAAATTCTTATTTTATTCTTTTACACTTCCATTTTGGTCCAGGAGATTATGAACCAGGTTGTTCTTATATACCCAACATGACGTTTCTGAGGCAGTGCTATAATCTCAAATTATGGTAAATCATATTTGTGTGTTCTGCCAATAAAAAGCTTAATATCTCAGCTGACCTTAGTGACATTCCTGGTCAGCCGCCCTAAATGAACTTTAGTTGGTTTCGGGCTCGGACTTCTTTTCCTTCGCTCCTTATCATCTCCCCTCTTCTGTGTTTTGGACCTGCAGAGTCGCAAACAAAAACAGTGATTAACCTCACCGTGACTCAAACGAGTGAAAATAAAAGACATCACAGTGTATGAATATTATAAAAGTGACTTACGCTGAGCGCGAGCGGCGGCGGTTGTCGTGACGCCTACGGCTGGGGCTCGGGGAGCCTGAGGAGCTGGAAGAGGAGGAGGAACGAGAGCTTGAAGAACCAGAGCGGCTGGAACCAGATGAGCTAGATCCACTTGAGGAACCTGAGCTGGAACCAGAGCTGCTGCTTGAAGTAGAGCTAGATCTGGACCTGGTCATGGTCAAAACAAAGAAAAACGTGTCAGAAAACAAAATACACATATTCATTATTTTTTTTCAGTAACAAACATAAATAATAACAGAGGTAACATAGTAAACAAACCTGCTGCTGCTGCTGCCAGTAGAGGCACTGCGGCGTTTCCTTGCTTTCTCCCGTCCTCTCTCCTTGTCTCCATCCTTGGTAGCGGTCTTTTCTTTGCCTCTGTCTTTCGTTTTTTCCTCCTCCTTACGCTTTGTGGGTGACGGTGCCCTTAAAGTCAGACGCAAGCTGCTGTTACTTTGATTCATACATGCTGTGAATGGTGTAAGGGGTGCAACTATTAACAATGAATCCGTCAATAACTTTTCTGACTGATCACTTAGAGTAGTACAGTAGTAGAAGATTCCCCAGAGATTTTTGTCAAATTACTATTTTGTCTTATCAACAGTGAGAAAAACACAAACATATCCAAACTACTATGATACAAAACAGGAGTTTTTAAGAAAAAGGCAAGATTTTTGCAAAGCCGGAATCAACAATACATACGATTTTTAGGCTGATAAATGACTGAAACGATTGCTCAATTGATCAAAATGACTGATAGCCAATGGCCACCAATCATCTGTCGACTAATCAAACTATTAACTATTGTTTCTTCAACACATGAACACGATGCAGCAATGTGCCTGTGACAATAAATACCATTAAGTATCTACACCCAAAGGGGAGGAAGTGACCAAATAAAGTTATTAAGAGTGTAAACCTCTTGCTGAGAGTAAACACAGACCGTAACGCAATTATTAGTTACACAATTTACGTTATTATTATTATTATTGAATTTTAATGTTATTGTATTGGGAGTGCGTGAATAAATTATAACAGCAGAAAAATGTAATATTAAATTATACTTCTGCTGTCACTTAAACATCGCAGACTATATAAATTATACTACCAACAACGGTGCCTGCGTACAAAAACCCGCCGCCATTGATTTTCATTCAACTGGCTGCTCAAAACAAGGAGGACGTAGCTACGGGGTTTTGCTGTTTAACCATTACTACTCGACTCATAGGGCGCACAGACGGTTATAAAAATGCGGTACAATTTCTCGTGCATTATAAAATATACGCAGGAATCGAAACTAGCGCGATTACAAGCAAAGAAGAGCTCAAACTTACATTTCTTTCAAACGGGAGGATTCCGCTTCAACCACTTGCGGCCTGAGGAAAAACGTCGCTCGGGGATGACGACGAAGCGGAAGTTACGTAGCCAGCTGAGCGCCACTTACAACTCATTTTGTTTATTTATGTTATTGTCGTTAAAAAAAAATGTGAGTGTATGTATGTGTGCGTGTGTGTGTGTGACACTACAACGTAACTATGCAAGGACGGAAATATTTCGGACGTGAAAAGAAAAGAGGAATCTCTTTCTGACGAGGTTTTCACGAGGTTAGCGTTTCACTTTATAACCGCTCTGCGCTAGCCGTCGTTAGCTAGCGGGCTATCTCTGCCAACAACTGTGACGCTACCGAGGTGCAGGTGAACCAGGTTATTGTAGGTTATGTGTACTATTGCACACAGCGTGTTCCTGCCACCATGACGAACTTTTAGTTACTAACGTACATTCATAATAACCTGTAACCATCTCGCCATTCATCGTATCGACTGCAACGTTTGCGGCGACAGAAAAAAAAAAAACAGTTTTCTTCTGATCTATTTTTTCATGTGTTGATCTAGTTTCTTGTTTTACTTGGATATGTTGATACAGTAAAATAATAAGACATATTCTTGATTTGAAATATAAAGTAATACATTGTTATAACAACGGGGAAATGTGGTATTGGCTAAAAAACAGGGAAAATTATCACAAAACAAAATCTTTGAGAAACGGAGCAGATTTTTTTTTTTTGCAGTGGTGGCAACAATCCACAGCGTCTCAGTGTTGAGCACACACCAAGTGTTACAGTTTTGTTATATGAATTTTTTTAGAGATTTTCCGCCCAACTCACAGAGTTCCTCTGGAGTGAGAGATCATGGGCCGACTGGATGATGCTGCCAAACACAAAGTAGTGGAGCTGCGGAAGGCTGGTCTGAGTTTCCGTAAAATAAAAGCTGTGCTGGAGCTGGAGAACATCAAGGTATCTGCCCAGGCCATCTACCTGTTCCTGAGGGAGTTTCAAGGCAGGCCGCCAGGTAGGGTTCGACCCGTGGAAGCTAGAAGCAGCACATCGCCAGCGCAGGTGCAGCCTCGAGCTGGGGTAGTACAAGAGAGCTGGAGTAATATTCATCTCCAAAATCTTCTGCGGGAGGCATCTCACCATGCTGGCTTTACAGCAGCTGCAAATTTTCCCAAGAACACTTCCACAAATCCGGATACTGGTGCAAAGCCATCTGGGTCTGGGGAGACCAGTGGAGGCAAGAGGCCAGAACAGCAGCACGAGGGAGATAAGGAAGAAAATGACATCCAGATTGTTAGTGTCACCTCCCTTGCACAGAACAGCGAACATAGAACTCCCCAGTCCATTGTTACAAGGGCCGAGGCAGGCGCTGTGCCTTCCACGGTAACAGTTTCAGGAGCACTCATGAGGAGGAGAGTCACTCCTTCTCCAGCCACAAATTCAATGCTGGCAGCTCGAAAGAGGCTTTTGGATAAAGCTCTCTCACACAGGATGAAGGTAACTACTTCATACATCATTTCTGTCAAAATACCAATGTTGAGTTTGTAATTATTGTTTACAATGGCACAAAAGATGTGTAATTACCTATACCATGAATCAATCAAGTCAGCTTTCTGTCTTAACTGGTATATGTTGCCTTTCAACAGTCATTCCACCAGGTGGCATCCTTGTTGAGGAGAGATCACTTGAGTGTCCAAGGTGCTGATATGAGAAGTGCAGTGCAACAGCCACCTGAAACTTATGATCTGACCACTGAAAAGGTGAGAAAAAAGCAAACCTGAAAAACCATTAATGATCTCAGCCTTTATTCACCTTAATGTGTGTGCCAGCTCTTGGTCAAGGACAGATTTAATAACTTTTCACAGTTGTTGACTATTTCCATGTTTTTTTTTTTTTTATGTTTCACAGAGTGTTATGGAAGGTCAGCCTGGAGGCGGTAGCGCCCCCAGGCGTTTTGTCACACAGAGACCGGGTCTCTCCGTCCGTTCACTTCATCCTCTCCCCCGGGTTGGCATTCGTCTTCCTAATCGGTCACCGTCACCTTTAACATCCTCGGCTCCAGGGGTTGCCGTCATCCGACTACAGACCCCTGGAGGCCAGGGCGCCACTCGTAGCGAGGGGAACCCGAGCCCCCAGCAGGCAGTCCAGGATGCCGGAGGGAGAGGTGGTCTGCAGGATCAGATTCAGACCCTGGGCTCTGAGGTGCGCAGCTTGGGTCTGGCGGTGAAGATGCTGGTGGAGCAGCAGTGCCGCCTGGAGAGGGAGCAAGTGCAGCAGACTCACATTCAGAAGCAGATCCTCAGCACTCTTCAGAGTTTTGCCTCTAAACTTGGACGTTGTAGCGGTATTCAACAGCAGCACAACAAAACTCCATCACCCTCTGATTTACAAACAGTTTCTGCATCTACTTCCTTCAGCCAAGACACCTTCAACTTCAGTCAAGGCACGTACAGTCAGTGCAGCCAAACCCAGCCAAGCTATAACTCTTTGGAGAGTTTAGAAAATGTTGAGGCCTTTAAACTGCCAGGACTGAGCCCTTCAAGCATGAATGGGTTTCCACCGTGTAGCAATGCTGAGAACCTCCAACTTACCCACACTCCCCCTCAAACACAACCGTATGCAGCTGCTTACCAACAGCAAAACTGTCAAGCACTCATGCCACCTTACACGCAGTCCTATGTCTCTACATACAACCAGTCACATTCTCAGACTTTCAGAGGGTCAGAGAGTAAAACGTCTGATTTCCCAAGCAGCTGTTCAGCAAGGACTCTCCAGGACTGCAGTGTGTCCACCCAGCCACAGGATCAACAGATCAATATTGTCAAAGTGGAAGGACCTTAGAGGGCTTCAGATGCCACTGTGTTTTGGGACCATAAGGGCTTAGGTGTGCTTTTTTTAAGAGTTGCTTTGGAATACTTATTTAAGTCACATGTTTTTACAATGAACACATGCTGTAGCATTTTTTAAATTAATTTATTTCCAAAGTACATTTGAAGAGAATACAAACAGCAATAGAATAAAGGCATTACAGTGCTTTAATAATGAAAATGTGTTTAGGATTTATTTGTCTTTACTATGGACAATAATTACAGAATTACAGAAAATGATAAGTTATGTGTTTTATTTAAGACTATGTTTATTTTGTATCTGTTATTTTTCTGTCACTAGGATTGGCATTACAAACTTAAGTTTCATACCTCTATGCTAACTGATAAAAAATAAAAAGATTATTATGATCCAAAGCACGTTTCCATTTCAATGTGTAAAGCAGTGTGTGAGAAGTTATCATTTAGAAGATTACAACAAAAACGTGTTCCATGATACTTTAAGTTTTGTAATAACTTACTATATATACTGTAACTACATTAAACATAACTGAATATTACAATTAATTATAAGCTTCATATTTAATCACAATTAAATTTCTCAGTGGGTGATATTAGTGTCAGTTCGCCGTAGTTAATATCTGTCAAATCCTGCTGATAGCACAGAGCTCATGAGGTGAAGGGGTGAGGGAGAAGCCCCCAACCTGTGTCAGATCCAGTTCATCCTCTGTAACTCCGGGTGGGGGAGTGAAACGAAAGTGCTGGAGGAGGGAGGTGAAGAAGAGGAACACCTCCACCCGGCCCAGACTCTCCCCTACACAAGCCCTTGAGCCTGAAACAATTCAAAGAATGTTACATATCCAAGTAAATGTGTTCTCTCAGATTTCTTGGTGATCAACTGAAACAAAATTAAAATTACCTGCAGAGAACGGCAGAAAAGCATCTCTCTTTCTAAAATTCCCATCCTTATCTAGGAAGTGGTCTGGGTTAAAAGTGTAAGGCTTTTCCCATTCATCTTCATCTTGAAGAACAGATGACAGCAGAACAAACACTGGAGTCCCCTAAAATATGTGGGAAATAACATGTTTTAAGGTTGTACATTTTTCATTGTCGCAAAATTTTTCATTTCTAGGTTTTTATCAGTGTAAATATAATTATGGCAATGCAAATTACAATATTTCAGGTCATTTTTAACAACACAGCTTCACCATAAAAAGAATCCAACTGTAACCTCTGAAAAAGTATCAAACTGAGTCAATACTGCAAGACAAATCACTGGCAAACCAATTTACACTCAAAACTGAAGGATACACAAGTATACATTAATAGCTAAAAGATTTACACCAAAACATTTGGAATGGTGGATAACATTTTACCATGATACAACCCATGGTGCAACATATGTCTTACAAACACACAGAAGTAATAAGTGTAATGGTTTTTATTGACATGGTGACAGGCAGTAGGTAATTGCAAACAAATGGCTCAGACAGGAAGAAAAAAATAAAGGAAATATCTTCTAAGTCAGATTTTATAGCTTACAGGTCTTAGAAAGAGTGGTTGCTTTGCAGCTTATAACTGTCGAGCACAACATTTTTTAAGTTTAGTGTGGTTTCCTTCAGTTGCACTCTACAGAAGCAGCTTTTCTCAGAGTCTCAATTGATGTGTTAATGCAGTGTGATGCAGGAGAATGACCCATATAAGTGCTGCTTTTGATACTGGACACCGTATATTGGTTGAGATGCCAGGCAGTGGTTGGGTATCTCTCAATCAGCTCTGGATTGGTTCTCCTCATACCTCTCAGACAGGACCTTCTAACTAACAGTTCATAATTATGCCTTATTAACTGAATCTCTGTTTTGTGGTGTTCCCCAAGGTTCTGTCCTTTGCCCAGTGCTGTTTGCATTGCACATGCTTCCATGCACAACATAAAGCTTTTATCACTTCCTGTTTGGCATTTCAGTCTGGCCCCCAGTATAAATCACAATTCCTAATCAAGCTCATCTCATAGTTCTTTAAGGTTTCTGTTGGAGAACCTGTGTGAGCCAAAGCTGCACCATCTTAAAAAAGGTAGCTTTTTTTTTGCATACCTCAAGGTGTATCTTGCGGGTCAGAAAGGAATCCACCAAACATCTGCACATCTGTGGATTAAGGGTGTCCTGTAAACCCTTGATTAACTCTGTCATGTGTCTCCTATTAGCAAACGCACTCTTCATAAGTTGCTTTCGGGCCCCAAGCCAGTTGAACAGCCTTGGAAAGTGGTTATATAACTGTTGAACAAACAAGGATATTAAACTGACTAACAAATTCACATTATCTGCTTGATTATGGACTTACATATGAAACTTAATATGCATTATATTTGATTATATAAAAGATCATTTATATGACATGTCTCTACAGTTCCACATGGACCACCTGGAAATGACCTTATTGCTGCACAGTACTCTTACGATATCTTTGTTCCCTCCTCCTTCCTACTCTTCTCCTTTAACAGATTGAAAGACAAACATATTTCCTGATACCTGCACTTTTCAGTTTAACCTAAACTGAATGTACTTGGACTGTAGGAAACTGTTCTGCTATGAAGTGAAAGTGCTAACCACCGAACCACTACCATTTTGCTAATCATAAACAATTTCTGTCCTCATGTACACTTTGGTCACCCAGGAAGGACATTAACCTTAGGTCAACTGAGTAAGCCCTGGTTTATGTCAATAGATCTCTACAATATGGAGCTCTGAAATACCTGTACTGAAGGAGAGCCCAGGAGTTGAGTATTCTTATTTGATCGATCCACCATAGATCTGAACACGGGGTCATCATATTCAAATCTCTTGCCATAGCAGCATAGCTTACTGACAGAGTGGTGTCAAAGGCTTTCCCTAAAAGATAAAACATTTAGTGGTTTCATTGGCTTAATTCCCCATATTTAAAAACTTTGGATCATTCATCATCAGTTTTAATAGATAATGGTAGTTAATATAGCATAGTTCACTGGCAGGGTTGTATTAAAGACAATTTTTTTTTTTAATTTTAGTGTTTTTTCACAGACAAACCAGTTTTGTTTACCATCTTTTTTATTAAAGACATGAATCAGATGTTGACTCTCCTCTATGATTTTCTCTTCGCATGCTTTTTTGCCCATTCCAAAGACTTTCAGGTTAGTCAGTGCAAAATGCCTCATTTCTTTCCATGAGTCTCCATTGGCAAATACAATTCCTGTAGATGACAAAAGTTTTTTATTTTAAGATAAAAATTTGTAAATGAGCACAGTTTTCAAGTAGCACTTAAGACATGTTTTTGTTCCTCACCATGTGTTAATTTCAGGTCATTGATAATTGGTAAAATGTCTCTCTCTGAAAATGCGTCGTTGTTGAGCAGAGCCTGCTTGATCGTCTTGTATCCTGCAAGCACCACCACTTTTTTGGGTCCAAAATGGAAGGTAAATACTGGTCCATACTTCTTGGAGAGCTGAAATAAAGGCAGTATAAATATATAATTAATATATACTAATACTAATACTACTACTAATAATAATAATAATAATATATATATTATGTAAAAAGAAAATATATATATTGAACATATTTGGATTTAAATATCATATGATCAAGGCGCTGCGCCATCTTGTGTTTTTTATATCAGCCTAATATTATTGTGGGATTATGAGTGAGTCTGAATGTATAAGAAGCAGTCCTAAGTAATGACGGGATAATTAACACCCTAGCAAATGCGGGCCAATATTCACACTGTTACTGTCCTGTAGCTGTTCAAACACAATGCAAAGGAAGCAGCAAAAGGTTCAATCAGAATCTGAATCAGTTTCATTGGCCAGGTATGTAAACACATACCAGGAATTTGAATCCGATTTTATGTTGCTCTTAATGTACTTCCACATAATAAGCAGAAATAAACAGAACAACAAGCTCAACAAAATAGACAAACTACTATGTACAGTTATACATGTATATAAACAAACATAAAACAATAACATTTGTAGACAATAGTGGAAAGGATCTTGAAATACATATTTAAGTGCATTATGTACATGAGGTAGGTGGATGTATTAGTAGCCTACATACAATATACACAGCATGGGTAGTATTTATGTTTTTAAAAAATAAATTGAAAAAAAAGAAAAAGTATATAAATAGTTTACAGGTTCAGTGGATGTTAGAGTCCCAGGGTTATTGTACAGAGATTGTTCCTGACACAGTGTGTCACAGTGACACTTTGTGTCAGAAGTTGAAACAGGTTGTGTCTATAACTTGTGCACACAAGATAATAACTTGTGCCCACAAGATAAAAATGATTTCCTTTTGGGGACTTTAAGGGCGCTGTATGAACACGACAGCAGGCTGCTACAATATAACCTTACAGACATCTACACACATCAAACTGGTCGGATAACTCGATGTTCAGCTTTTTATGAAGGAGACGCCCAGTTACCAGGGCTTATCATAGCCTTATCCAACTTTCTTTTTCAGCATACGTCTCATGTATTATCCATGAAACACACTGCAATGCAAATGCTGTTGTGTAACATTAATTTCTGAACTATATGACCATGTACGTGGTGAGATACATGATAGTTATTATTAAAATAGAGTCAGTCCAATAGGTTATAATTATATAAGTGGTTTCACCAAATCAGTGTCTATATTTTGTATTTAATAATCAACACCTGTGATCTATATTCACCTTCTCCCAGCCCTTTTGCAGGTTGCGCTGCTGAACATATGGATCAAATTAGAAGGTTCGCATGGAGACGCACACACAGGCCGTGCACCTATAAGACCACCTTTATTTATTAATTAATAATTATTAAACTGAGGGGGCGATGCATGTTTACGCACCCTCTTAGAACCGGGCCTGAATATAAATTACTATATACATAGACAAACTATAATTAGATGTTATAAAAAAAATAATAACAGCAATGAAATAAAATAAAATAAATCAAGATATCAAAAATCTTGAATGGGCATGACTAATAATATTATCTAAAACATAAGATGGCACCAGTGCCCAGATTTCGTTACATATATTGAAGTTTCATTCCATATATTAATTCAATACATATCCTAAAGGGAATGCCATACATAACATATATATATATTTATTTATATATAGCCAATTTAGTTCTCCATATGATTTACCTAACACAGCGTGCTGTGGGGTGACTTAGGATCAAGCTGCAGCGAATTGCCAAACAAAAGCAGTGGTTTGGGTCCTGGAGGCTCCTTTCTTTGAGGGTCAAACCTGGGAAAAAATATATACAAGGCAAGTAGGATCCCCACAGTTCCCAGTAGAGTGGTTGTACTGGGGGTCTGCAGAAAAAGGTTTTCCATTACAGCCACACTTTCGAGTATCACACTGATACGAAAAGTCAACGATATTTGTCTGTTCTACTCCTTTCTGTGTTTGTTTTATTTTTCTGTTTGTATTGGGATGAAACCCACAGCTGATATCATATGCAGTTGATCCAGTTTCACTCCAGGTGAAGGAATGAAATTAAAGCACTGAAGGAGGGAGAAGAAGAGCTCAAATTTGGTTATGAGACACATCATGTGATCTGTGACAGTAAAATGTCATCGATTACAGCCACACTTGAAACACACAACAATTTTGCTTGCTCCTGTATCCATTCCATTTATGTATAACTATTACACAAATGGATTGCATGAAGTTAACCAAAACTGTGGGAGTTGGAGGCCTGGCCAAAAGTAATGGGAGAGTCTGGGCCAATGGGCTGTCATAAACAGACCTCCATCTTTATAAAAACATTTTTAAAAACCACAAAATAAGATGCAAAAGGAACAAAACACTAAGACAGTCAGAAGGCTGCTTCGTCTGGAAGAGAGGTCCTTGTCCACCAGTCTCCCTTAAATATGAGCAGGGCCACCCACTAATCGGAGATTAGAGAGCACCAGAGAGAGAAGAAATGGGGAGCATGCAACAACGAATATAGGTCATTCCCAGTTTAACACAGCAACATTTTTCTGTTGTGTACAATTTGCTCTGTTACAATGGCATATTTTATTTTCAGCAAGACACACTTTAATTTAAATACTTTAATTCCGTATTTTGTGTTTTGTTACATAGAAAAAGCTACCTTCAGGATCTTACATTTTGCCCTGGCTTGATACCATCAGTGTGCCTATGATTTATAGCTAATTGCTGTTAATTGGTTATATCTCTACACATTTTCACACAACATCCCCTCCCACATCATAGTTAGACTGAGTGACTACAAGTGGCACAGAGGCATGGAATAACAACACAAAACAATAATCAAGTTCTTCGTCAGTGGCGACTGACAGCACACAGCTCATGAGGTGAAGGGGTGAGGAGGAAGCCCACAACTGGTGTGAGTTCCAGTTCATCCTCGGTAACTCCAGGTGGGGGAGTGAAACGAAAGCACTGAAGGAGCGAGGTGAAGAAGAGAAAGAGCTCCATTCGGGCCAGGCTTTCTCCGAGACACACTCTGCGACCTGCAAGAACAAAGAGTTGCAACATGTTTAACTTGATCTTGATCTTCACAATTGTTAAACATCTGTAGAGAAACATCTGATAAAGTTGTTGTACCTGCAGAAAAGGGCATGAAGGCATCTCTTCTGATAAATTTACCCTCCTTATCCAGGAAGTGGGAAGGGTTGAAAGTGTGTGGGCTCTCCCATTCACTCTCATCATACAGGACAGAAGTAAGAAGAGGAAACACAGTAGTCCCCTGTAAGCAAAGGAAGAGCATAGCGTGTATCATATAAAATCCTGGAAACAAAGCACTGCTTTCAAGAGTTTTCAGAGGTGAACATGTCTCACAAAAAAAAAAAAAAAAAAGTGGATTGAACTGACATGGGCAACTGACCTCTTTGATAAAGTAGCCCTGGTAGGTGACGTCTCGACTGGTTTTATGAGGAATAGCCATGGGGGCAACATTGGCCATTCTCTGTACTTCATGGAGGACAGCATCAGTGTAGGACAGGTTCTTCCTGTCCTCTACTCTGACTTGACGGCTTCCAACCACCCTGCTCAACTCCTCCTGGACCCGCTCTGAATGCATGTAGAATATGAATTGAATCTGATGAATATGCAATGCTACCTTAACCCAATTTCATGTGAGAAATGTTAGCTGAGACAAGCATGTGGATGTGTTTTTGCACCTTGAATATGAGGGTACTTGGCAATGAAAAGTAAACACCACTGAAGTGTATTTCCTGTGGTATCAGTTCCAGCTGCAAACAGATTTATCACACTGTGGACCAGGTTGTCATCATGATAGTGTGACTCCTTGTTTTCAGACTCCTTTAACATACAGAAAATATTATTATACTTGAATGAACTTGATCTGTATTATCTGTATTGTCTGTATTATTATCAAGTTGGATGCCTTACCTCCAGATTTTGCTTACGTGTCAGGAATGCATCAACAAAGCATCTGCACATCTCAGGGTTCAGAGTCTTCTTCAGATCTGCTATGATGTGTTTTGTGTCCTCTATGTTTCTCTCCACATTCTTCATCAAATGCTTCCAGTTTTTAAGAAAAGGTCCCAGCCAAGGAAACATGTTGTATATCTGTAATGGTGCACAATACAAACCACCTCATTAATGTAGGTTTTGACTAAATTTGTATTTGTGTTAAATTTTGGTTGTTAATCATTTAAATTATAAAGTAGACATTTAAAATAAAGACATTTTATTTTACAGGTTTGTAAATTCCACATAATTTTGTTATACTTTTCCAATTTCCCAGAAGCAACTTTGCAAATTGGTACTAATTTTACTCATAGGTATAATTAAATGTAATAATACAGAGGCCCTTTTCAGTTTGTACCTGTCTACAGACAAATATAAATAATTAATTAGAATAATAAACCAAAATAAAGTTTCCAATAAACAAATATTTATTTGGATCTAAATGCACACTTCATCCATGAAATTCCCATTTTCCTTGTAATTAGTACCAAATTACATAGTTCCTCCATAAAACTTGCTTAACAAGTCCCTAATTTGCCAAACAATGTAAACTGTTCTTGTAATGATTGAGTCACTCTGAGGTACCAGGATGGGAGCTGATCCTGTCAGACGGATGGACTCGTGGTCTCTTTCCACCATAGCTTGGAACAATGGGTCTTTGTATTCAAACCTCTTTCCAAACATGATAGCTGATATAATATTTGAAGTCGCATAAGAAATTGCCTTGGTGTTGTTGAAGGCTTTACCTGGAAGAAAAGTTTTGGACAAGAGTTTGGTAGAATGAGGTATTTGAAGGACGACTGTGTAAACCTGAGCAGTGTTTTATTAGAGATAATGTTACCTTCATATTGTTCAAATTCTTCAATCAGGTAGCGACATTCCTCAATGATTCTCCCTTCACTAATCCGTTTGCCCATTCCGAAATCTCTCAGCGTAGTTAGAGCAAATCGCCTCATTTCTTTCCACGAGTCACCATTGGAAAATAGTATGCCTGGATACAAAAGTGGTTGTCTTGTTTAGACGAGAACAAAAGCAAAAACAAACTCTCAAAACCTTTTCTTACCATGTCCTTTGTTGAAATCGTAGAATATGGGAGTGACCTCTCTGTCTCCAAACTCTTCAGCGTGGTTGACCAGAGCCTGTTTGACTGTCCTGTATCCTGCCAGCACTACCACCTTCTTAAGTGCAAAGTAGACTGTGAACACCGACCCATATTTCTTGGACAGCTACAAAGATGGAAGCAGGTAAAAGTGAGACTTGCAGTTGTAGATAAGACATGTAATTTTCTTACTTATTGAAAACATATATTTGCATTATTTAAGTAATAAAACAATTTCTCACATTAAAAAGAGAGTTGTCGAGTCTCATGAGATCCACCTGAAGCAGGTTACCAAGCAGGGGGAGAGCTTTAGGTCCTGGAGGCTCCTTCTGGTCTTGGGAGATGAAGCTGGAGTAAAGAAGATGCAGGACCAGCAGGCCCACAAAGGCAACCAGCAGGGAGACTGTGGCGGAGGACTGGAAAAGATCTAACAACATGATCCTACAGTGAGTGTCAGTTCTGACTCCTCTCAGGAAGGCGAACCTTCTCACTGAAATGTTATTTTCAAGGGTAAATGACAGGATAGATGTCAGGTTGTCACAAACAGAGCTTGCTGTCGCCTCTTGTTTGAAATTTCTACAGAGACTTTGCCCTAGCCGCTTCTCTGGGTGTAGCAGTATCACCCACCTTCTTTTAGAAAGGCTGCTCCAAATTACAAATAACACCAATCTCACCTCTTCAGGAGGTGTGAACGAGCAAGTCAGTCAGCCAATCACAGCTCTAATCAAACTGTCAGTCATGATTAAGCAATTCAAATGCAAGATCTGTTCACTCAAACAGACAGCACCTGGAATGTCCTTAAAGCTAGTATAGGGTTACTAATCCTCTCTCCACTCCTCTTCTTTTGTGTGAAACAACAAGTCTCTAGGGTGAGGCAAAGTTGACAGTACAAGGACTTGTTTGGACAGAGTTTAATCATACATTTCGACATAAAGACCTAAACATTACAGTGATCAAGTTTAGAACAACAGTTTCCATTATAGCATCTGTGATATAGGTCTTCCGGTTATGGCATCTATGAACAGCAGCACAAGTTTGATACCTGACCAGCTGTGTCCAAATTTCCACTTATCAATGACACAAATTAAGGTTGTGAACAGAGATGAACAAGGCTCACCATATTACATACAATATAATACAATATATTTTGGTGTGATGACCCTTCTCACCACCTCTGGTATGGTGCGCTAACACAACATCACTTCAACAGGTGAGGACAACAATGGACCGACATTAGAGCAAAGTTAAAACAGAGAGCAGTCAGCTTGCAGTGGAGAAAGGCTAACCTGTGCATGTTAAACGGATTGGAACGACAATCATTACCGACCACTGAAAAGAGTGTGTCTAGTATTTTTTTAGTACTAAAGTATTTTACTAGAAGGAAAAAATGACCCATGGATGAAAATAAAAAAAATTGTAGATACATGTAGATTATTATAATTGTAGATGTTGAGGTGGTGTCAGCTACATGGCGAGGCAGGTCCAAATTCATTTACAATAATAAATAAGAAGATTTCTATAATTTGATACAATTTGAGAAATTAAACCCTTGACAAATTGCAATGTATAACAGGGGTTCCCAAAGTTTTTCATGTCAAGGAACTCCACAATGGATGCACATTAGACTGCGGACCCCCCAGTTTGAGAGGATTTAATCTTAAGGAATCCCCTCTGAGTATTTTTTTTTTTATTTTTGGGCTCGAAGATAATAAAGTCTTCATAGTGAATCAATGATCAAACTAGGATCACTCTAAATTACAATCAATCAAAATAGCCAACCCTATCTCTTCCTTTGTTGTTCCAACTTCCAAAAAATTTGATTAAAATATTCTCCTTTTGCTGGGGACCCCCTACAACTCACTCACCGGACCCCAGTTTGAAAACTACTAAACTATAAAACCAAGTACAAACAATCTACAGTGGCTGAAAAGCAGGAATATATAGGTTAATGTACCAATATCATTCTAGAAACATGCATAAACTCACTGTTTAATCTAATGTGTACAAATTAAAATAACCTTTAGAGTAATTGGTGTCTCCACCTGTCTATGACACCATTAATTTTTCCTCAATACCATTTCAGGTAACTGGCAGTAACTGAAATGTATGGTCTGTCTCTTAATGGTATTCTTGTCTCTTCATGGTCTTGAGTATCTTGAAAACATCAGTATGACATATGACGGTGAGTAAAACAATATTGATGCCATTGGCACAGGCAGTTATCATGCCATGCTCCAGCTCTCTTCCTCACTGGCGAGTGACAGCACAGAGCTCATGAGGTGAAGGGGAGAGGGTGAAGCCAACAGTCGGTGACAGATCCAGTTCATCCTCTGTAACTCCAGGTGGAGGAGTGAAACGAAAGTGCTGGAGGACAGAGGTGAAGAAGAGGAAGAGCTCCATCTTAGCCAGACTTTCTCCGAGACACACCCTGCGACCTGCAAGAGTGAAGAGATTTTCAAATAGTCAAACTGGATCATGTTGTGTGAAATATCCCTCAATGACAAACAAACACTTGTTGTACCTGCAGAAAAGGGCATGAAGGCATCTCTTCTGATAAATTTACCCTCCTTATCCAGGAAGTGGGAAGGGTTGAAAGTGTGTGGGCTCTCCCATTCACTCTCATCATGCAGGACAGAAGTAAGAAGAGGAAACACAGTAGTCCCCTGTAGGCAATAGAAAAGGGCAGGTTTATCATGTGAAGTTTTAGAATGTAAGCTTTTCAAGTTTTCACAGGTGGAAGAACAATTCCATCATTTATTCTTTATGGATAAATACTGAAACAGATGTGAGAGCTGAACCTTTTTGATAGAGTAGCCCTGGAAGGTTAAGTCTCGGGTGGTTTTATGAGGAATAGCCATGGGGACAATGTTGGCCAGTCTCTGCGTCTCGTAGATGACAGCATCAGTGTACGGCAGGTTTTTCCGGTCCTCTACCCGGACCTGGCGGCTTCCTACCACCCTGCTCAGCTCCTCCTGGACCTGGTCTGAATACACATAAAAAAGGTTCATATTCTTTGCCTTCAGACTAGGGGTCTACAGCCATGCTGGCAGCTGTGTGAAGTTATACTTCGGCACAGGCATTGAGTTAAATGCTGATGTCAGCATGCTAAAATGTTTACAATGACACTGCTGACCTTAAGGTCACTACTGTAGATGGCGTTGTGCCTTATCAGGTATCCTGAAATTGAGAGGTGCTCCAGAGGGGATAACACAAGAGAAAGCTTTTTCTTTTTTTAAAAACATATTTTTGGGACTTTTTATGCCTTTATTTGATAGGACAGGTGAAGATAGACAGGAGGGGACAACATGCAGCAAGGACTCCTACAGGGGCCACACGCTCTACCAGGTAAGCTACCAATGCGCTTCTAGAACATTTTCTTAAAAAATACGAGCCTCCTCTCTCAATTTACCTTGTATATCTGGATATTTGGCCATTAGCACTAAACCCCATCTCAGTGTAGTTGCTGTTGTATCTGTACCAGCTGCAAACAGGTTGGTCACTGTAAATATCAGGTTTTTCTCATTGTAGTAAGTGTCCTGAACAGAAGAGTCCTACGAGAAAGAACACCCACATTATTATAAAAAAGCTGTGTGGCCAACTTGTGCATCATTGCTCTTTTTCTTAAACAACAAAATGCAAAAGATCAAAAGTCTTACCTCTTCTTTCTGCTTCCGAATCAAAAAACAGTCCACAAGTCCCCTGCATATGTGAGGGTTCAGAGTCTCTTTCAGATGCTTGATTAAAACTTTGACATCCCTGATAGTCATTTCAGCATTTTTTAATATCAGCTGCCGGTTTTTGATCCAACTGACCAGCCTGGGAAACATGTTGTAAAGCTGTGACACAACAGGAGAAACAACAAAGATTATTTAAATTACACGAATAATTCACTTAAATAAGCTCAGTGCTTAGCTGGATTCTGAGACATTTTATTTCCATCAGTGATATTTTAAGAAATCTAACAAACTTTTTAGACTTTTACCTTTCTTTTAAATGTGTTCTTAATCTGTGTTTCATCTTATAAAATGTATTTTTTTTATTTTAGTTTTCGGTCAGCACAAACAGTAGGAATAATTGGATTTTTCTTCTCCACACCGGTGACATACAGGTAATCATATATATTTAGCATTTAGCTTTCTTGTGCCTATCATTTTGTTATTTAAAATCATTGCCCCAAAACAACCAATACTACAAAGGTTAAGAAAAAAAAATTATGTTTACCAAAACCAAACCACAGTCTTTAATGACACCCCTATAGCTTACCATTGATAGAATTTTCTGTAATTGAATTAGTCTTACTTGAACTTACTTTCCAAAATTATGTCATCAAAAAATACATGTCAACTATACATGGACTATAGAGGTGTATATCTACTGCTTTGAAATGCTGAAGGCTTAGATAGATTTTATCATTCTGCACAAATCTTGTGTACATAGATTAAATCTGTCAGTTACCATACACTTAAATTGGCTTATGTGTAATGTGAATCTTACTTGGATTGGTGCAGAGCCACTAATGCGTATGTTCTCATTTGCTCTTCTCACCAAGTTTTTGAATCTGGGATCATTGTATTCAAACCTGCTTCCATACACGATAGAGGAGATGATATTGGATGCTGCGTAATTCACCGGACATGTTGTATCAAATGGTTTCCCTGTTAAGTGGCAGCGAGAAAGACTGAAATTATAACAGATTATAACAAAAAATTATATATATATGTACTATATTAACTCCATACCTTTATGCTCTTCAAACATTTGGATCAGATAGCGGCATTCCTCCAAGATTTTTTCCTCAGCTACTCTTTTGCCCATCCCAAAGTCTCTCAGGGTGGTGAGGGCAAAACGTCTCATCTCTTTCCATGATTCTCCGTTTGCAAACAGAATCCCTATTAAACATGACATGCAAGTCAAATCTGATCTGTACTTGTCATATATATATTGTTATACTCATCAGTGATCAATGAAACAAACTATACAGTAAAAATACTTTAGAGGAAGGACATACCATGACCTTCATTAATATCATTAAATATAGGGGCAATGTCTCGATCTCCAAACTCTTCTGCATTGCTGACCAGAGCCTCTCTGACTGTCTTGTATCCAGCTAGGACCACAACTTTATTGGTTCCAAAGTACACCGTAAACACTGACCCATATTTCTTTGAAAGCTGGAAAAATAAAAACAATGTAGTCAAATATGTAAGAGATAGTGTAAAGACATTTATTTTAATTAAATATATAGCAACATGTTACAGATAAATTTGTTTTGGGATAAGAGCTAAACTCACCTTACAGAGGGTTTTGTAGGGTCTCTTGAGATCAAGCTGCAAGAGGTTGCCAAGCAGGGGAAGAGGCCTCGGTCCTGGAGGCTCCTTCCCCACTTTATGGGAGGTAAAGCTACCAGAGACAAGATAGAGGACGAGTAGAAGAGCAACAGCCCCTAACAGAGTGGTGGGACTGGAGAAGAGGAAGAAAACAAAATCCTCCAAAGGAGACATTTGTCCTGCTGTTGATGGTACTGCGGAGTCTTTCTGCTAACACAGTGCTGTTTACTCTCACACAGACATCACCTGAAATGTCCCCGCACCTTTGGTGTAAGGTTACTAAGTATCTCTCCGCCCAATAGGGCTCTGTTGTGAGAGACAAGTCTCAAAGGTGAGTCAAACCAGACAGGTTACCTGACACAAGGAGTTGTTTGGCAGATAGACCTAACCTCTACAATAAACAAGCTCATAGAACAACTGGATATTTACAATATAGCTTCTCTGATTCCAGTTACATTTAAATATAGGTTTAAAATGTAGGTCACCTGGAATGTTGGTGAGAAATTCCTGGCTGATGTCAGTTCAAGGTTTAAAGTTTAACTGCAGATTAGTAAACAGTCAGGTGTCTTTAGGGTCCTATACATCCAGACCAGTAGTTTTCAACCTTTTTGGACAGTAAATATCTGCAACCTTTATCATAGGTTGTATAATGTAATGATAGATAGATAGATAGATAGATAGATAGATAGATAGATAGATAGATAGATAGATAGATAGATAGATAGATAGATAGATAGATAGATAGATAGATGAGCAAAGGAAAGGATAAACACCCTGTGTTATAAACAGCGACATGTAAGACTACTCTTATATATTAAATTCACCCAAAAATGTATAGATTGTTGTTACTAACGCGTTCCTGAGTTTTGCCTAACAACTCTGTCATCTGTCTGTGTTTTTTCCTCATTAACTTATTTTCTGACTTGCTGCAGGGCACTGAGAGAGCCTGTCACTGTGTGTGTATTGGCTGTGCCCCATGCTACTCTTATGGTGTTCAGTTGTTATATGTAATGTTCTTGTGCACTTAAATGGAAAGGACTGCATTGAATGAGTCCAACAACTTCGAAATAAGCTCCTTATTTATTTAATGTGCACTCTTATTTTCTTTTGAAGACATGCTAATATCAAGTGAACTAGAGTGAGAGACATCTAGTGGGAAAAAAAATTGTTTCAGTGGATATAAATTTAACTCATTAACTATTTCTGTCTTTGCTTTCACTGTGACGCTGATTCTAAATGATTCCACTTGTTAAACCACCATAAGCACATACATACTTTTTATGTGCACATATTTTATTCATAGCAGTATAGAGCCTGTCACGCTGTGTATGTATAATGACTGTGCCCCATGCTACTCTTAGAGGAAATAGATGTAGATCCTGATTCCTTGCTTGAATGGGGTTCAGCTAATGAGCAACCATACTACAGCTGCTACACAGTCAGAGAGAATGTGATGTCATTCTCTGCTCAGGATGCTTTTATTATACCGTTTGTTGCTATATTCATTTTTTAAATCTCATATATATATATATATATATATATATATATAATACCTTTATGGAATACAGTATAGGGTTGTCCTAATGGATTATACTGATAGTTGTCATGAAGATTTGTCACACACAGTAAAAGCAGATTGTTGTGATATTTTTTTCAAATTGAAGGGCTAAATTCTATCACAAATCCACCTTTTTAGGCGGAAAGCCACATTCAGATTTGACCCCAGCTCTCGTCCCTCACCAGATTAACTGGATATTATGCCAGTGGACTGTTTGGCAGTAGAAGACCTACCTGATGTACCTGATTTATTGAGCAGCCACTCCCTTTTTTGACACCTTCTCAAAAACAGAACAAGAACAATGGAAATTTAATCTCTGCCTTAGGTACATTCAGGTCAACACAGATATAATTAAGAAAAAACAGGCTAAGCTGCTTTTTATATGCCTGCCAATTTAAATGACATATTTGCTCAAAGTGAACTGTGTGAACCCACATTCTGCTCAAGGACGCTGTTTTGAGGCAAAGGTAATACAACAGCTGTGTAGTATGTACAATATAATAAAACTTGACCATTATGACGACTTGGCTGCTTGAGAGCAGCAAGTGAGATGCTTTGCAGCCTGGACAACTGGTGGTCTGTTGTATTATATATTAACAATGGCCATAATTCTACTGTAGGGAAAAATACAGAAAACTGAATAATTGTCAGCAGGATGTTTGTAAGTTTTAATGTAGCTTTGTAAATTACTTATACCTCAGACAATATGTAACAGTGTTCTGTTTGTTTACAGTACTGAATGTTACTGACTGCTGTTTATGTAAGCATTATTTTAACATTGTGTATTTTAGTTTTTATGTTTTTTTGTATCGTTGATCTTATATAGTTTAGGGATTTAATTCTTTCTCCTTTGTTTCTAGTGTTGGGCTGGTGGTGGCCTCAAGTCACGGTGTGTTTGGAGTCCTGGGAGTTCTGGATGGTGGTATGGTTTGCAGGCACATTTGGATTTGTGGGTGGTTGGCTTTTCAGCCGTAGTACAACTGTCTGTTCTCTCCTCTACCCTCTTTCCTACTCTCTTACCATCTTTAGTGATTTAGTAAATGCTCTAATAAATAGCTAGTTATGGCAATTAACCCACGCTGACTATTGTGGCTTCTTTATTTAATAATAATCTCCTGAATCTACTCTTTTACAGCTCTGCTATAATATGTTTTCAACAGGTATAATTTGCTCCAAAGAAAAAGAAGAAACATCCTACAAAGAACCTACATTAGCCTACTGTTTGACCTGGTCATTGTAAAACCATACACAACCAATCCAAGATGCTTTCATTATGTGTATAAACCTTTGTTTCACCCCATTTCTAACTACACTTTGCGGCTAAGTAAAAGGCGGGATGTCACTAAACACCAAGGACACAATAAGACCCACCATCATGCCACACAATCTGTTCCCCCAGAACTGTGTAACTGTGTTAGTGGCTCTAAAAAGCATGGCTAACATGACATGCAAGTCAAATCTGATCTGTACTTTGGACTCATTCGAGCCTTCACATACTTCTGTATGCTGCGTAATTCACCGGACATGTTGTATCAAATGGTTTCCCTGTTAAGTGGCAGCGAGAAAGACTGAAATTATAACAGATTATAACAAGAAATGATATATATATGTACTTTATTAACTCCATACCTTTAAACTTCAAACATTTGGATCAGATAGCGGCATTCCTCCAAGATTTTTTCCTCAGCTACTCTTTTGCCCATCCCCAAATCTCTCAGGGTGGTGAGGGCAAAACGTCTCATCTCTTTCCATGATTCTCCGTTCGCAAACAGAATCCCTATTAAACATGACATGCAAGTCAAATCTGATCTGTACTTGTTATATATTATTGTACTCATCAGTGATCAGTAAAACAAACCAGAAAATGAATCACTGAAACAGATTATACAGTATATATATCAAACAGATATTTGTGATTTTGCTTTCACTTGAATTGTTCATTTATATATTTTGGCTTTGTGCTAATATGTAAAAATACCGTAGAGGAAGGACATACCATGACCCTGATTAATATCATTAAATATAGGGGCAATGTCTCGATCTCCAAACTCTTCTGCATTGCTGACCAGAGCCTCTTTGACTGTCTTGTATCCAGCTAGGACCACAACTTTATTGGTTCCTGTAAACACTGACCCATATTTCTTTGAAAGCTGGAAAAATAAAAACAATGTAGTCAAATATGTAAGCAATAGTACAGGGACATTTATTTCAATAAATAAATAGCAACATGTTACAAATGGATTTGTTATGGGATAACCTGGGATACCTCACAGAGGGTTTTGTAGGGTCTCTTGAGATCAAGCTGCAAGAGGTTGCAAAGCAGGGGAATATATATATATAACCTTTATGTAATACAGTATAGGACTGTTCTAATGGATTAGACTGATAGTCAAACTGAAGTTAGACTTGTGAAGATTTGTCACACACAGTAAAAGCAGATTGTTATGATAGTTTTTCAAATTGAAGGGCTAAATTCTATCTCATAGGTTTTTATTTAAGTCCACCTTTTTAGGCGGAAAGCCACATTCACATTTGACCCCAGCTCTCGTCCCTCACCAGACTAACTTGATTTTATGCCAGTGGACTGTGTGGAAGTAAAATAACTACCTGATGTCCTTGACTGAGCAGCCACTCTCTTTTTTGACACCTTCTCAACAGTAGAACAACAACAGAAATTAAATTTCTGCCTTGGGTACATTCAGGTCAACACAGGTAACAAAAAAACTGGCTAAGCAGTTTTTGTATACCAGGTCTGCCAAATTAAATTACAAATTCGGTCAAAGTGGACTGGAAAGTACACTTGCTATTGTAAAGTAGTTCAACTGTTAATATTTAACAGCACTATAACTGTGTTTCTTGACCATGTCCAAATAAACTGGGCTGCAATGACTAAACCCCAATCTGAAGACTGTTTGTATTTAACTGCAGCTTGTCCAAATGAATCATGTGTTAAAAACAAGTTCATGTTAGCCACTATTATGGAACATTTATTTTTTTTTTTTTTTTTTAATATTTTGATTGATCTTCATTTTGGTCCATAATCTCCTGAATTTACTCTTTTGCAGCTCTGCTATAATATGTTTGGAAAAGGTAGAATGTGCTCCCCAAAAAAAGAAGAAACATCCTACAAAGAACCTACATTACTCTTTGACCTGGTCATTGTAAAACCATACACAACCAATCCAAGAGGCTTTCATTATGTGTATAAACCTTTGTTTCACCCTGTTTCTAACTACACTTTGTGTCGAGGTAAACAGCAGGATGTACAAAAAAACAAAACAAAACAATACTGATGCCTTTGGCACAGACAGTTATCATGCCATGCTCCAGCTCTCTTCCTCACTGGCGAGTGACAGCACAGAGCTCATGAGGTGAAGGGGAGAGGGTGAAGCCAACAGTCGGTGACAGATCCAGTTCATCCTCTGTAATCCAGATGGAGGAGTGAAATTAAAGTGCTGGAGAAAGGTGAAGAAAAGAAAGAGCTCCATTTTAGCCAGTCTTTCTCCGAGACACACCGTGCGACCTGCAAGAAAATCTTTAGGATTTAGAGATTTGTCTACACATTTACAAATCTCAATACATTTGCAAATGTGAATACAGTTTTGTAGATTATTTTTTACACATTTACCAATCTGATTACAAACATGCACATATTATTATAAAATAGCTGTATGACTGAACGCAGCATTGCTCTTCTTTTTGTCCTGCTTCTG